GTCACACACCCAGTTTAAGAGCAGTTTTTTTTCTTCTTGTAATTAGGAGCGCATGTCCTCCTATTTAAAAAATTTAGGAGCACCTTCTGATCAATGATCAAAAATTCTGATCAAAAATTAGCCTTCCTAATACGAGGTGACATTTCACTCCTTAAAGTGACTTACAGGAGTATTTTCTTTTTACCTTTGTAATGGCATCATTTTCATGTGTCAAATTCAAAAATGTATGTTTATAATCTTTTTAAAATTTCTATTTAGATCAATATGTAGAATAAGACAAATAAGTTACCAATCATATGAAATTAGTATTAATAAATTAATTCACTGATTTCATCACTGAATCATTCATTCAGTTGATTCGTTCGAATGGCTGAATCATTCAGGAATGAAGCAAGTGGCTGTCTTTATGAACTGACGGAAATCTAATCCCTGTACTCTGAGTGATTGTAGCTAATTTGAAAATATGGCCTCTTTCTTCTTAGGAACACACAAAAAAATTAAGCCAAATATTTAAAAGTATACATTTTAGACATTGATTTAGTTGATGAATAACTGAACTCTTGCCTTGTGAAGTGTCTCTTTAGTGTTTTCATTCACTCTGACCACAAGATGGCAGTGCACTGACAGCAAAAACAGAAACAGCACCGTTTACACTTATTTCTCACCTCACTTTAATTTCATTCACATACATTTCTTCAAGCCAAGTTAAAGTGAACCCTTTGCTGTCTCGCTTTGTATCGTTTATTTCCAGCCTTCTGTCTTGGGTTTTCCCAGAGCAGTTCCTCTCGCTGTAATATGTGCCACCAGCTGCAGTGTGAGCTGTGTTTTGGTGGCGTGTGAAATCAGTTGCGTGCTGGTTAAAGCAGGAACGAGGAGGCGCTGCACTCTTTGATTACCAGGGATTACACGCCGCTCATTATGTTCAAGCCCAACATGTATAATTCGGTCAGATCCCAGCGTAATGCTCTCAAACAGACAATCAGCGTAATGAGATTAGCCGCTTCCCACTGTCAGCGCCTCCGTGCAAAGTCAATTACTGTCCTTCACTCTCATTCAGACTGACAGGAGGCTCGCTGATTCTTCATTCGGCTCTGGCACATTTCTGACGAAGATCGCTGTGGATCATCTGCAGCCTCACACAACTCATTCAGTTCATTAATTACTCAAAGCGCTCATATTTAAGCAATGATGTAGGATAATTAGGAAATTAGGAAATTATATTACTCCACAAACAAATTTCTAATCCATTTTAGAGGTTTTATCTGAAAGTAGACTTTATAAAACTGTTTTAAAAACCAGTTTTTTTTTAAAAATCGCTCTTTTATAGTATTTCAGCTCGTTACTCGCCAGCTGGCACAGTGTTAAACAGGGTTCCCACGAGTCCTTGAAATCCTTGAAAGTATGTGAATCTGAAAAAAAAATGTCAAGGCCCTGGAAAGTTTTTGAAAATAAACGTACATAGATACAGGTCCTTGAAAGTGCTTGAATTTATTTTGTGCAAGAAGTTTTCTGGAAAAAATTCCATATTATTCCCTCTGGTCCACTAATGTGTTATTTCGCCAACACTTCGTGGCCTATGCATACTAGCTTGCTTGATTGATGTTAGTTACGCGCATTTTACGCGTTACGTTAAGTGTTTCCCGCGTGAGAAACTTTGTGTTGTATATGGCAAGCCAAAAGAGTC